CTGACCCAGATGGTATCCCCATTAAGCCAGCTGGTGGACTAGTAACCAAAACCCTCGTCAGGGTTCTAACCTTAGTGCGCGGGTACAGCCAAACATCCGTGTTGCCAACGTTAATAGGGACATAAGCTGTACCTTTCTGTGCTTGCACCAAAGATGGAAAGGTGGGTAACCCGGCAGGGAGGCCAGACACTAGGGGCTCAAACAACACAGGTAAACCGGTGAACTGTTCCGAGCACGAGGTGGCCACGTGCCCGTCGGCCAAGCACCTTAACTACTCCCGAGGTTTGTTGAGGAATGTCTCCCTAACCCTGGTGACACCTCTGCAATGCCTGGACAACAGGCTCAGGGGCCCCTGACATAGGGGGTTGCTCAAACAAAGCCATCCCATGCTGGCCAAAACATTCACTGTAGCACTTGCGGATGATATTCATCCCCACAATGCCAGGAAAACCAGAGGTACCACTCGGGGGGTGTTACGGCTGCCAGCCTGACCAGTGGAGAGAAGCAGCAGAATCACCAAGTCCTGCTGAATCAGCCTGACACTGCCCCTCCTCCTCCTCTCTCCCGGGCTGCTGAGGAGCACAGCTGCAAGGAATCTTCACTGATTGCCATCACCTGTATAAAAGGGCTGAGCCTTCAGTAGTCTGGGAGGCAGCAGTGCAGGGGTTCTGCTGTTCTCCTGGTTTTGTATAGTTTTAACCCCTGTTTGTTTGGATTTGTTTGAGTTTTGGAACTTTTGTAGTTTTTAACTCTTGAGGAGAAATTGTGAATGATCCAGTGGGATCTTTTGTATGTCCGGTTTTTAAGGTTAACTTTGTTTGTGCCAATTTTCCTGACTTCAGTTTTAACACCTTTCGTGTTGGTAAAGCTTTTAAGATAAGTTTTTACCAGGTGTTTTTAGTCAGGGGATTGTTTTGAACTTTTATCAACTTCAGGATTTTAAAACACCTTCGTTGCGGTAAAACTTTTAACATAAGTTTTTACCAGGTGTTTTATAGTTGATAATTTGCTTTGTACTGTTAAACTTTTAGAGAAATCAGTTTTGCTCGTGTTTAATACCTTTTGTACAAATAAACCCATTTTGAACTCCTCCACCAGTTCTTATGTTCTCCCCATCCTTCACACTTTTAACATCTCATGTCGGGGACGTAACATAAATGGGGGCTCGTCCGGGATTTTTTTTAAATAACAACAGAGCGTGAAGGAATGTACAAATCCCCTGGTGGTGGTAATTTTAATGGTGTTTTGTTTGTTTTAAAGGTTTTAAGCTTCAGATGACTTGGATGACTGGCGGGTGCATCTGGAGGCCCCGCCCCCACAGGAGGATCCAGCCAAGCATTACAGAAGTGGACCCAGAGATGATCCCTGCAGGCAGGCCCAGATGTTGCACCTAGTGGGTTAGTGTTGGTGATTCACTTCACCATCTCGGGAGCACCCCAGGAAGGGCTGTGGCTAACCCAATCCCTTTGCTGGTTTGAATGTGCCTCGGCACATGTGCTTAATCTGCCCGCCCGCAAAGTGCATGAAGAGTAGGGATTTTTAAATGGCCTGTTCTGTTTCTATCTGGGTCTCTCCTGTTTTAATCCTCCAGTGTCTTCGTCGTCCTTCAAGAGTCTTCGCCCCCGTCCTTCGAGAGTCTTCGCCCCCGTCCTTCGAGAGTCTTCGCCCCTTTGAGTCTTCGATGCCCCCCCCGCCCCTTTGAGTCTTCGATGCCCCCCCCCCGCCCCTTTGAGTCTTCGATGCCCCCCCCCCGCCCTTGAGAGTCTTCGATGCCCCCCCCCCCCCCCCCCCGCCCTTGGGAGTCTTCGATGCCCCCTTCGCCCTTGGGAGTCTTCGATGCCCCCTTCGCCCTTGGGAGTCTTCGATGCCCCCTTCGCCCTTGAGAGTCTTCGATGCCCCCTTCGCCCTTGAGAGTCTTCGATGCCCCCTTCGCCCTTGAGAGTCTTCGATGCCCCCTTCGCTCTTGAGAGTCTTCGATGCCCCCTTCGCCCTTGAGAGTCTTCTATGCCCCCTTCGCCCTTGAGAGTCTTCAGAGAGTCTTTTTCACCCCCCCCCCCCCCCCCCCGTCCTCCAGTGTTTTTAAGAAAAAGTTTTAAAAGTTGGTGTTGTGGTGTTACTAACTTTTATCCTTTTTCTTGTTTATGTGTGGGGGTGTTACGGCTGCCAGCCTGACCAGTGGAGAGAAGCAGCAGAATCACCAAGTCCTGCTGAATCAGCCTGACACTGCCCCTCCTCCTCCTCTCTCCCGGGCTGCTGAGGAGCACAGCTGCAAGGAATCTTCACTGATTGCCATCACCTGTATAAAAGGGCTGTGCCTTCAGTAGTCTGGGAGGCAGCAGTGCAGGGGTTCTGCTGTTCTCCTGGTTTTGTATAGTTTTAACCCCTGTTTGTTTGGATTTGTTTGAGTTTTGGAACTTTTGTAGTTTTTAACTCTTGAGGAGAAATTGTGAATGATCCAGTGGGATCTTTTGTATGTTCGGTTTTTAAGGTTAACTTTGTTTGTGCCAATTTTCCTGACTTCAGTTTTAACACCTTTCGTGTTGGTAAAGCTTTTAAGATAAGTTTTTACCAGGTGTTTTTAGTCAGGGGATTGTTTTGAACTTTTATCAACTTCAGGATTTTAAAACACCTTCGTTGCGGTAAAACTTTTAACATAAGTTTTTACCAGGTGTTTTATAGTTGATAATTTGCTTTGTACTGTTAACCTTTTAGAGAAATCAGTTTTGCTCGTGTTTTAATACCTTTTGTACAAATAAACCCATTTTAAACTCCTCCACCAGTTCTTATGTTCTCCCCATCCTTCACACTTTTAACATCTCATGTCGGGGACGTAACAGGGGGTCTTTGACCACCAACACACCACAATTTGTTAGTGATCTACCACATAACTCTACAGTAGCTCCAGGTAGCCAATATAAGGGATAGCCAACCCATTGGCTGCCTTGATCTGCAACCAGTTACAGAACTGCAGTTGGTCCATTCCTCCAAGGCTCAAAATGCTGCCGGAAAAAGCCCTCGGTGACCGTAGATACCATAGAAACGGTATCAAACAAACATGGTACATTTATGCCTCCCATTAGTACCTCCACATGGGGGCAATCTGACACCAACTTCGAGGCTTCTCCCTGACTAGCAGCAACCAGTTGTGAGCCACTAATTATACCCCCCGAACTGTGGCTTGGCTGTTCGGCAGGCTCTAGTTTTCCGATTGCCTTGCAGTAGGACATAGTGGCTGGGTGGGCTGGGGACGTGAGACTCTAACCCCATCGCAGTCACTGGCATAATGCCCTGCTTGCTGACACCGTCGACATATTATGGGGCCGTGATTAGTGGGGCGAGGTTTTTTTCGTGTACCCTGCAGCGAAGAAACATCTTGAGCAAGTTTATTTATTTGATCTTGTTGGAGTTTTAGCATCTCCTTTATCTCACTCAACTCAGCAGCTGGGAAGAAACCAGGGCCACCTGCAGCGGGGGGACACTGCACACCATACTGGAGACCTAACACTGAGGGCATGGAGTGGGCACGGCTTCTAGGCCCTCCCGATATCCCCTCCCGCTCCCACCGAATGGCCTCTGCTCGGACATCTAATAGTGTAGCCGAAGGCCTCCCACGCACAAACTGCTTCAATGCAAGGCGCAAGGACCCTTCTACCACATATTCTACGAACTGGTCTCATAGCAACACCTCAGCATTTACCATTTCGCTGGGGGCCTGCTGCTGCACTGCAGCCATGAGGGCCATTAAAGCTAGGGAAAATTCCTGTAATGTCTCCTCTTCCTGTTGGCGGTGTGAAAAGAAAGCCTCCTGCAAAGCTACAAAGGAGTCTGAGCACCCATAAAGTTTTTAGATAGTACTCACAGTCCGACACGCCGGAGTCCGGTACACAATGGCGCTTGACACAAGAAGTGGAAGTTTGAGCCAAAATAAAAGATCGCTGTAGCACCACCTCAGGCCCTATTTATATTAGCGCCTTCCCTCAATGATAGGTCGTCCAATTACTTGGTGGCAGGTGACTCATCCCACTACATGTATAATCCAAGCTGATGTGCTTCTTTCCGCTCTGGCTGGGAGGTGGGCGGAGCGGTGAGCTTCACCTGCAGCGGATGGGACGGGCAGGCTCGGTTCTCTCTCCCTGAACAGTGACACCAAAATGACAAGCTTTTATTGAGAAATAAAGCCGATTCTGATGGAGCTTCAGTTCTGAATGTGTTTTGTCTTGTTTTCACTCATCAGCCACAGATCGCTCGCTACTCAAGCTCACAGCAAGCTGGGCTTTCTACCGCGGTGACTCACTCACACGCCCCTCTCCTACATTAGTTGGTTACGTGGTGAATTAATTCACCGTGTTACTAGTGTGTTTTCTCTGTTTGGGAGATGAACCCCTTCTTCTTAACCAGGTTATTTGTACGGAAGACTAGAAAGGTCAAAATTCCTCAAACGTATTTTTTTCCTACTGGCTGATAAAAATGTATTGAATAGAACAGAATAGATTTATTAGTCCCACAGTGGGGACATTCACTCATTACAGCAGCACGTACACTTAAAGAATAATAACAAGATTACAGTAAAACTGATTCCAGCCATGTTTGCTTTCATAACGTCAATAACTTCATGCTGGTGACCCACATGAACATAATCCTCTGTTTAGTGGATGCAGTTACATCAAGAAGTTAGCTTAACGTGATAGATTCCTTTTCTTGGCAAAATACAATACCTGGTTATATTATGAATGACCCTAGATGAATTTTAAATAATTTTACATTAATTATAACTAAAAGTCCCCAGGAAGCATTTGTGACATGTAGCTGTAACTCTTTACTGCTGATAGATAGATGATGAGTCCTTGTAACCCTGACCTGATGAAGTATAAATAAGTGAGCATGATGATGGAGAGAGCAGCAGGGAAACAGTGAGAGGGAAGAAAAAAGTAAACACAAAGAATCTGGCTGGGACCCGAAATAAACAGAAATCACTTCCTCCCATGGCTGTACCACAACAATCAAGGTGGGAATTCATTACAATTTATTTCAAGTTAAATATACATTTTTTATTCAATTTTAATTAAGCAATAATCTGTTTTACACACTCCTGCTGGAATGGTCACCAAAAACATACAGTCTCATGTCTCAGAACGACCGTCTTCATACGTCTCTGCACCGCCCCACCCCCAACCGACTGACAGTCCACCAGGGCCAGATTAACACTTCGTTGTACCCTGGGCAACAATATTCAAGAGCCCCATCTTCACGACCCAAGGATCACCATAATATGGTCACATACAGAATATTTTACTGTAATATGCAGTAAATTTACTCAATACTTGAATGCCTGACATCATGTAACCCACTCATGGTAACCTCTGACACACCTCGTGTGGACTGACCAATGAGGAGAGGGTCTTAACTTGAGGCCCTCTCTTCATTGGTCAGTCTGCATGAGACTGTCTCTCTTGCACTCCACACCGGGTTCGGCGCTGCCGGGCCCGGTACCGCCAGGTCGGGCCGATGAGACAACAAAAGCACTCAACCACCACCGCCCACCAAATCACCAACACCTCCAGAGGCCTGCAGGTCTTCTGTTTGATCTTCTTTCACTGTAGGTCAGTTTGAGGTGGTGGGTGGCATTGTGTCTCCTGTGAGTGACGGCTATGGATTATGAATCTGGATTAATAAAGGTTAAAAACTTCCTTAAGCCTGGTTTATGCTTCTCTGTCAGCTCCGCAAGGGACAGACACGCACGGATTGAGAGAAGCGTTTTGCTCTTTTACTTCTCCGTCTCCTGGGGAGTGTTGCAAAGCAATTGCCCGGCAGGACCACAGAGGGCGTAGCGCTGTTCTGTGGTATCCTGTCATGTATCGGTCCAAGATCGTGTGTTTATATTGGGTTTTTCGTGTATATAAGAGACTTTTAACACGGACATATTTCTCTCTCATTCTCCCACCGCTTCATGCGCTCCCCACCTCTAAACCCACGTTTCCTGTCATTTCCGTCCACAAATAAAACGCTTGCTGCGCATCTTTTCACTCCTCCAGTCACGGGAGAATTAAACGTTCATATTTTTAGAGTTTTTTCGCAAGGTATTCTTCAAGCTTCTCCGTGTCTGCCGCTAGTTATCCTCGGCTCTCTTTGCAATGGCGGCACTGTAAACAACAGCGGCGTCCTGACCAATCACAAGCTTGCGTAATCCGTCTCGTTCGACGGATGTTTAAAAAAGTGGGCTCGACTCCGTACGTACTTGCGTGCCCTACGCAAGGACGGATGATGGCGTTGCGTGTCTCCGCACTGACGCAGACGGAGAAGCATAAATGAGGCTTTAGTAAAAAGACTTTAGCTAATTTCTTCCAAACACTGTTTTGTTTCCTTGAAAGAATGGGAAATCTGCGCCCTCTGCTGGCGATAAACAGAACAGCACTTTACCCTCTACAAGGACTGCATAGAACAGTAATTCTTAGGTTGTCAGAAAATATATGTTATTTGTTGGAAAATATGTGTTCTTTTAAATATGCTGAGGATTTTATTTTGAAGGTTTCCAGTGGTCTTTGTAAATTTAAACCATCCTCGTCCCATATGACTAAGTGTGTCTATTACGTCCCCCGGCTCTCTAGGAGAGATGAGGAGGGGAGTAATAAAAATGGTGTGTGGATTAAATAATAACAAAGTGCAGTGTCGCTAAAAAACAAGGAATTTATTACAAAATGAATACTTACAACCTTAAAAGAAATATCTATATACAAAACACAAAGGAGCTTATCTACAAAACGAAGGGAAGAACGGAAAACACCAACCCCAAAGGGGATGGGAATAAACAACCGAGACTAAAAAGAGCGAGGTTTATCCAAAGTCAAAATCTAAAGCCGGTCCGAAGTCAAGTTACCAAATAGTCAAATCCTAAATCCAAATCCAAATTCCAAAATGAGTCAAATACCAAAGTCGAACGAGAAAAATACTAAGCCAAGCACACGAGGAGAGAATAGCACAAACTCCTAAGAGTCTTTACTACCCTGTACCTTCTCTCTGAATGAGGGCAAGAGGGCAGCTTTTAACAGCTGATCCATGATTATGAATAATCATAAACACCTGTTCACTGTGAGACAGGTGAAGCAGAAGGCCGCTGAGGCCATCCTGTGGCCAAAAAGGGGCGCTGCACATAACAGTATCGATCTGAAGGGTGAAGCTTTATTTTATTTTATGTTTTCAGTTATTGAGTTCTGGCTGGCTAACAGACTTCTAGCAATTCTGTATTTCAACAATAGAATATATTTAGGTGCTGTATTCATGACCACAGCCTAAAGCAGTGATACAACTGTGACTAACGGTTCTCTATCAAACATTTTAGTTGCCATCTCTGGCATTACAGTTTAGAAAACAGAGGGAGGATGCACAAGCATAACAGAAAGCAAAATTTGTTATTGAGGAGGAAGCAGTTGCTGGTAAGCCTCTGAGCCGTGCAGCACTTGTTCCTTTTCTGCATGAAACGCACTTCATTACAAAAGCCAAACCACTCTTAAATCTTGGAGCTGATATTTTCTTTAATCGGTTTAATTGTTTTCTGCCCTTGTGTGTTTGTTTTTGTCTTTCTTTTCCTTTTGACCACTCGTTCATCGTTTGTGACATCTGTCCTCTAGATATTTGGGGCACAGTTGTGATCTGCAATCTGTAGATCTCACCTACCTTCCCTGGAAGGCAGTCTAATTCATCCTTTTTCCCAAATTGTACTTATCAGATGGAGGAACAGCATCCTCCATAAAGTAGTTAATTCATGCTGCCTGACCATAGCATTTTTTCTACTTGGCTGTACCTGTACCTAGCTTCCATACTCTCACAAAGCTTCCTTCCCTGATGTTTGGCACTCTTGCACGTTTTGCATCTGCATATTTCTTTGCAGCTTGCTGTTAGTTGCTGACACGAGAGCGTAACTCCTTGTTAGCCTGGAATGTCAGTGATGGAGCAGATCCTACATTCACTCAATAAGCGCACGCTGCGCCAACTCCGGCGCACCGTCAGGCTGAAGGCAGAAATGAGCGCTGCCTCCTCCGTAATAAAAACTTTTAAAAGGTTTTATAACAACATTTTTCATTCCAGGTCAAATTAAGATATTAGCTTCTATTTTGGGATGACGTATTAAAGAAGGAGAGAGCTCTGGCCGCACAGGTTAAACGTTCCTGCTTTAAGAAAACCTTTAAATTGCCTTTTTATGTGCTACCTAGGCACTCTAAATATATATATAGAGAGAGAGCCATGCCTTTGTTATTGACTGCTTCCTCGTCAATAACAAATTTTGCTTTCTGTTGTTATGCTTGTGCATCCTCCCTCCGTTTTCTTAACTGTAATGCCAGAGATGACAACTAAAATGTTTGATAGAGAACTGCTAGTCAGTTTCATCTCTGCTTTAGGCTGTGGTCATGAATACAGCACCTAAATATATTCTATAGTGTTGAAATACAGAATTGCTAGAAGTCTGATAACCAGCAAGAACTCAATAACTGAAAACATAAAATAAAGCTTCACCCTTTAAATCGACACACTTAGTCATATGGAACGAGGATGGTTTCAATTTACAAAGACCACAGGAAACCTTCAAAATAAAATCCTTAGCATAAATAAAAGAACACATATTTTCCAACAAATAACACATATTTTCTGACAACCTAAGGATTAGTGTTCTATGCAGCTGGTCGACCATGCTACTATGAAGACATCTCCCCATAAGCTTTTCTGCATTAATTTTAGGTCAGAAAATGCTAAATCACCTTGGAAAAACATCGTGTTCCCAGTGTTTCTATTCTTTTCCGACGTGTATACACTGTTAGGGTTAACCCTAACCCTATACACTGAAGTCAGCGGGAGGATTTTCCTTACAATCCTCTGAAGGGTCCGCCCTTCGCTGACTGATACAAGGATGCAACACTCCAAATTACCAAAGGGGACCACCCCTCTAACTCCAAGTTACCCAATCTGTGTACACATACATATTTATGCCCAATAAGTAATTTGGATTTTAATCTCACCAGATCAATCACCTCAGGGAGACTGCATCTCCCACAAATACACACCCTACTGTTCTCACAGTCTCACGAACATGATTTGGGAGGGAAAGCAAAAACTCAACAAAAATTAGCTATTTATAAAAGCCCAAACCAAAAATGGACATTACAGCTGATATGTCCTTAATGTATACTAATGAAACCTTCACACAAATTACACTGCATTGTTACAAACGGGAGCAGAGAGACAGCCACATTGCTGTTAGTCAGTCAGAGGCAAGATGTTCCTACATCATGATTATTAATGAGTCAGACTCCAAATCCTGCCATTTTCCACCCACTCTTCTGACTAACCTTTAATTCTTGAAACACAAGAGCTTTTTTTCTACAGAAACGTTCTCACAAGGCATTCATTCATACTGTAACCCAAGAGATTTACTGTAAAATAAACTTTAAAAAAATGTATAAAAAAACAAAACCTCGACTAAATTTTAATGTAGAAAAAGCTTTAATAACAGCACACTTGTGAATAAAATCTCAAGTGTGAATTTTCATATAAGAAGTTGAAAGAAAATGTCTGGTTGAATCTCCTACAGAACAAACATGGAAAAAACATTTCACATGTGTTGAATTCTCATGTGATTAATCAAAGCAACACGCTGTGTGAAACATTTACTACAACTTTAACATGGATATGGCTTCTCACCTGTGTGAGTTCTCATGTGTGTAGTCAAGTTACCACTGTCTCTAAAACATTTACCACAAGTTTTACATGAATATGGCTTCTCACCTGTGTGAGTTCTCATGTGTGTAGTCAAGGCACCACTGTCTCTAAAACATTTACCACAAGTTTTACATGGATATAGTTTCTCACCTGTGTGAGTTCTCATGTGTGTAGTCAAGTTACCACTGAGACTAAAACATTTACCACAAGTTTTACATGAATATGGCTTCTCACCTGTGTGAGTTCTCATGTGTGTAGTCAAGGCACCACTGTCTCTAAAACATTTACCACAAGTTTTACATGGATATAGTTTCTCACCTGTGTGAGTTCTCATGTGTGTAGTCAAGGAACTACTGACACTAAAACATTTACCACAAGTTTTACATGGATATGGCTTCTCACCTGTGTGAGTTCTCATGTGTGTAGTCAAGTTACCACTGACACTAAAACATTTACCACAAGTTTTACATGGATATGGCTTCTCACCTGTGTGAGTTCTCATGTGTTTAGTCAAGACACTACTGACACTAAAACATTTACCACAAGTTTTACATGAATAAGGCTTCTCACCTGTGTGAGTTCTCATGTGTGTAGTCAAGGAACTACTGTCTCTAAAACATTTACCACAAGTTTTACATGGATATAGTTTCTCACCTGTGTGAGTTCTCATGTGTGTAGTCAAGTGACCACTGACACTAAAACATTTACCACAAGTTTTACATGAATATGGCTTCTCACCTGTGTGAGTTCTCATGTGTTTAGTCAAGGTACCACCGTCTCTAAAACATTTACCACAAGTTTTACATGGAAATGGCTTCTCACCTGTGTGAGTTCTCATGTGTGTAGTCAAGGTACCACCGTCTCTAAAACATTTACCACAAGTTTTACATGGAAATGGCTTCTCACCTGTGTGAGTTCTCATGTGTGTAGTCAAGTGACCACTGACACTAAAACATTTACCACAAGTTTTACATGAATATGGCTTCTCACCTGTGTGAGTTCTCATGTGTTTAGTCAAGTTACCACTGAGACTAAAACATTTACCACAAGTTTTGCATGAATAAGGCTTCTCACCTGTGTGAGCTCTCATGTGAACATTTAAATAACACTTGTGACTGAAATATTTTCCACAGAGCTCACACGAAAATGGCCTTTCACCTCTGTGAGCCCTCTTCTGCCTTTTTAGCTTTTGACCATTTACACTGTCTCTATGATGATTGGTTTTTTGACGTCTTTTGTTACGTGTCAGTTCTTCATTGCCCTTTGATTCTGAGTTTTTTTTCCTGCATCCACCCTGATCTTGATTCTCAGCTTCTGTAGAACTCTGACACAAGGGTTGGGTCCTGTTCTGTTCTGGTTCATGGCAGTCTGTTTCTTCAGAAGAAGTCTCCATGAAGTTAACATTTTCCTGCTTCAGAAGGAACTGCCCTTCATGCTGTTGCCTACAGAGCTCCTGCTGGACTTTCTTGATCAGTGGAGGTTCTGGTTCCTCCTGGTCCAAACTGGAGATCGACTCCTGGTTAAAGAGCTGCTGGTCAGTCAGAACCTTCTCTTTTTCCCAAACTTGATGCTGTGGAGGTTCTGGACAGGATAAAAGAAAATGTAGATTAATGTGATAAAAAATAAATCTCATTTTATTTTAATCTGTTCCAAATAAAGATGTTTGGAAAATAATGAGACCTCAGACTAGCTCTTACTTAAAGAAAATAAACATTGAACAACCACAAAGATCTGTTTATGGCCACAGGCTAGGAATGCCCCATGGCCCCCAGCTGCATTCTGGCGGGACCAATCACAGCTCTCTACTGGGGTGTCAAACCCATAGAGCAATGTGATTGTTCCACAATGGTGCATCAATTACAGCGCTCTTTTGGCTTTGTGGGCCAATCAAGGTGCTCTATTGGTTTGGTGGGTGGGATGATGCGACGTAGGTAAACAAGATGGCTACAGCTTATTTGGAACGACTTTTACATCAATTTTGGACTATTTGAACTCGGGCTTGATTAGAATCAGGAGCAGATAGGTGTGTTTAAGTCTTATTTTTAGAAAAATTATGTACTTTTGCCTTCTTCAACAGTGGACTGCCTATTTGACTGACATGCGTTGCAGTGAGTACGTCCCGTTGTTTACTGTCCAGTAGCATGCAGTGATCGTTTGAAAGACAAAGGTAGAAACGGCCCCACGACCGAGAGCCATCCCTGGAACGTTTCCTGACAGATATATTTATTTAGTCTGGCTTGCCAGGCTAAGGCATCACACTACTACAGTTTGCTTTTACAGATCTTTCCTCATTCCAGAAAAACTGCACCAGATAATCTGTTTATCATTTATTTTCTATTTTACACTAAAAACCAACATGGAATCTTTTTTCTGTTTTGGAAAAGGTGTTAATATTTTCAAAATTTGTCTTGGAAAACACATCTGAATATAATTTTAATATACTTCTTATAATATAATTCTTCCGGCACTCGTAGAACACAGACACATCTCCTCTCCTCTCCCTCATGTTTATCCTAAGGCTCTCGTCCTGTCTGTCAGAGTGCTTCTCTGCATTCCTCCTAAAATCTCAAGATTGTTATTAAATCATGTATTTGGTTAGCTGATCGTTCAACGTGATTGACAAAAAATTTTATTACAATAAGAACAGACGGAGGGGCTTGAGTCGGAAAAGAGTAGAATGCCTTCTCCGGGTCAGGGATGAGATCCTGCCCCAAGTGGAGGAGTTTAAGTATCTCGGGGTCTTGTTCACGAGTGAGAGAAAGCTGGAGCATGGGATCGATAAGCGGATTGGTGCTGCATCTGCAGTGATGTGGACGTTGTACTAGGGATGCACCGATCAACAATTTTTCACTTGGATCCGATTCCAATACCTGGATTTAGATATCTGCCGATACCGATATTATTCTGATACTAGAGGTCTGTTTGCTTTAAAATCATTATTATTATCATTATGGTTGATTTTATGAGGCTATAATAAACTCTTCTCTACAATCATGTATTCGTACTTGAGAAAGCTCTACGGGTAGGAGCCCAATAGCACCATGTCTCAAAAGGTAACTTAAGATAAGTATGAGGTCACAAAATGTCCATCCTGAAAAATAAATATGCAACTGTAATGTTTCAAATGCATATTTATTAAATTTCAAGATAGGGTTACAAGATACTAGTGCAATATACACAATCAAAGAAACAACCCTGTCATATAAACTGAACAGCCCAGAGTCCAATCACCACTAGCCAGTAACGCAGTTTTTAAGTGTCACACATGAAATAAAAGGGTAAACTTCCATACTACCAATCCAAATAAAATACAGAGGGCTGCTTCATCCGATCACCAGAAATTAAGTTCACTGACCCTTGTAGCATCAAGAAAGTAAGGTTTTCAAATATTTGAAATAAATAAATAAAATAACACTATCAAAAAACAATGTGTATCTGATAAAGATAAATTCAGTAAAACCTGTAGATGCAACAAAATAAGGTTTCCAAATAAACATTTTGAAAATAAAGAAAAAAGTGCAATAAGTGCACTGTAAACATCCTACACAAACACTATCAGCTTTGCAACATTTTCTGCTCAATTTGAAACTTGCTATAAAAGCAGGATTTACTAATTGCTGATTAAATGTTAAAACGGTTTGCCCTACTTAAACACACTATCCCATCATGTTCAGCTTTCGTTCATCTCCTCACCCTTCTAATGCGCTGTTTATTTTTCTTTTGTCCTCTTTTACAGACTTATCCCCAACAATAGTTACAGGTCCCACGACGTTTATGAAATTTCCAAGGCATGTTTCACGGGACGTACCATACCCTCCCTCCTTTCACAGCAAGCGGAGGAAGGTGTGTGCGGCGCTGTATCGCGCCGTCAGACTGGAGGCGCATGCGTGTGTATATTTTTGCCATTTGTATCATCATTGTGTTTTACAGGGGAGCCAAAATGCTCCCATACATGCGACCTAAATGATGCAGGAAGTTTTTCAAGCTCCTCTCCTCCTCCGCCCTCACCACCACTGTGCGTTTCTCCTTTGCATGGAACAGGTAGCGCCTCCACCCTCCACACGGCCGATCTGCAAACTGTGTGGGTGTCAAATTGTAGAGAGAGATCTGAAAGGATCGCGGATTAATGATGATCCATTGGTTGCACCCCTAGGGCGCGGCCATGATGTATCCCAAATGCGTGAACACAGGGGGAGGTGAACATCGGTAAAAATGACAAACAAAACTTGGGCGCCACCCGGGTGGTAAGTCCTCAATTATTTACTGCACAACGAGAAATTTTACTGCCAATGGTGCTCAGGCGGTTTAAGTTTCCACACCTGCATTTTTGCAACCAATGGTTAAAAAAGATTTGTCATTTTTTTCATACTTACTGTTGCTGGCTCTTGTTTTCCGATTGGGTAATATAACTACGAGATAGGTAAAAGTATGTATGATTTGTGCCGATACCGTATCGGATTGATATTGGTATGTCAATACTGAAGGACGCAATATCAGTATCGTATCGGAAGTGAAATTAGTTGTATCGGGACATCCCTAGGTACCAGTAAATATTTCTTGTTACTACTACTTTATTGATACTTGGTTTTTGATGGCGGTAACTCAACAATACTTTGGTTGAAATTGAATTGGTATGAGGCTGAAACGACAGAGTACTGTCCAACAGAACACCAAGGCTCTTAACCTGATCCACACAGGAAACAGTGGCATTCTCAAAGACTAAAGAGAAGCTGCCAGCCTTCCCCAGAGCAGATTTCGTACCCATGAGAAGCACCTCAGTTTTCTTAGGGTTAAGTCATAGGAAGTTCTTGGAAAACCATGACCTGAGTTCTGCCAGACATTCAGTGAGAGCTACTGGAGGAAGAAGAGTAGACGGAGAGGTGGAAACATAAAGATGAGTAACATCAGCATAACAATGAAATTGGAGCTTGAAATTCCTAAAAATAGCCCAGAGGAGAAGCAGATAAACTATAAAAAGAAGAGGGCCAAGTACTGAACCTTGAGAAACCCCTGAAGCGACACCAGATGGAGAGGAAGCAAAAGTCTTCATTTGAATGATGCAAGTCCTGTCAGAGAAATAAGAGTAGATGCCAACCTAGCCAACAGAGTGGAGTGAGAGATTGTATCTAAAGCAGCACTAAAATCCAAAAGAACCAGAATGGAAATTACTCCATAATCGGCTGCCATTAGCAAATTGTTAGGGGTATTTTGATGAGGACAGTTTCTGTACTGTGATGAGGACGGAAACCTGACTGAAACTGTTCGAATAGATTATTGCGAGTTAAATGTGAATGGAGCTGTGAAACTAGTTTTCTCCAGGATTTTTGAAAGAAAAGGGGGACTAGAAATGGGACTAAAACTATTTAGGTCATCTGGATCAGCCCCAGGTTTTATTTAGGTCATGAGTAAATCATGAATAAAACATTTGATAGTGTAGAAGAAACATCTTTTACATTATCTGATTTAGTAAGTATCTATAGAAGATAATAAAATGCTTTCAGGTCACCATCACCAAAAAGAAAATATTTTTCTTCCTTTGACTGGAGACCTTCATAAACCTGCCTCCTTTCGGTAGTCTGTTTATTGTTAAGTACACCGACACAAGGTCAAAAGATAAAACCCAACTTATCAAAAAAAGTCTAATTCATGATAACCTTTTACCCTGTTAAGCTAGACATACAGTGCGACTTTTCCACTTTTTTAAACCAATTTTCCCCTTGTGCGAGAACCTACAAGATCAGGGCGAATTTTGCGCTGAGCGTTGTGTAGTACACAGGGGGTAACGATACGCGATTAACACCACGTGACCAGCTACACATCAGCAACCATGAGTTCGCATGGATTTTTGGCGTGTTTGATATTTTGCTCATCTGTTGTAAGCAGGGTCCGAAATTAAATTTTTTACTCACCGGCCAAGTTGGCCGGTAGATGACGAAAATCTACCGGCCAAGCATATCTTTTACCGGCCAAAATTCTAAATGATTTAGATCTACCTAAAGCATGTTATTCTATATTATGTTGATTCCAAACAGTGACAAAATAATTAAAACATCAATGAATAAGAAAAACAACTCTGCTGTCATTTTTACTATTTATTTATTTATTTTAAGAGATGTTTTTATGAACTCTTTCATTGAAATCTAGTCAGATTCCTTGTTTTCTCTGTCCATGAAGTCTGGCCTCCTGCTTCTGACACCGTCTTTGTGCCAAAGCATTACAGCCTCATTTGGGTCATAGTCCTTGATCTCTGGAGAACACAACTGCACCATGAGAATATCTGAAAGTGTGTCAGGGTTATCACGATAACTGGTGTAGCAGTAAACCCCGGTAAAAAAGTTGACAATAATAATAACCGCCTTGTTTTTAAAAAAGTAAAAAATTATCTCGGTGGATTACCGTGGCTGCGGCGTAGGCGCGGTGACCCTTACCAGCCACCGTATCACTTGCTGAAGAAGTGGGTTGCACATGCGCACTTAAGCACTCGGGACATTTATTATCCCTCAAAGAAGGAAGTATGGACAGTTTTTGGATATTTGAAGAATGCCGAGGGACAGTTGATAGAAGACGGCTATACTTTTTGC